AAAAAAAAAGTCTGGTTTCACGGACAATGAACTTACCTAGGAATGAAGAATAAGAGTAAATCTGACTTTTTCTGGTACAGGAGCTTAAGCAAGTCACTTATTTTCTGTAGTTCTCAGTTTGTTGGAGGGTTTTGTTTGTTTTGTTAAGAAGTAGCAACGAAAATAATTTCATGGTTTGGGGGGTCACCACATGAGGAACTGTCCGAAAGGGTCGAAAGGGTCGCGGCTTGAGGAAAGTTGAGAACCACTGCAAAAGGACAAACCGATCAGTCTTGGAAGAAGTACTGCCAGAGTGCGCCTTAATGGCAAAGATGGCCAGACTTTGTCTTCTGTACTGTAGACATTGTCAAGAGAGACCAGTCCCTGAAGAAAGACATTATGCTTGATAAAGTGGAAAGGCAACTGAAAGAGAAAGGGCTTCCATGACATGACTGACACTGGCTGTGAGAATGGGCTCACGCAGGACGGTGCAGCGTTTCTTCTGTTGTACAGAGGGTCCCCATGGTCGGAGCCAGCTCAATGACACCTGACAACAATATATTTAGGATTTTTCAACATAAAATGTTATAAACCGTCTGCCTTCTGCACTATTGGTTTGGGTTAAATATAGGTAGTTTTGGAGGAAACGTACATTTTTTAATGGGTGTGTCGTAGCCAGAATTGGTTATTGTCCAGGTCAGTTGTTGGGTGCTAAGGAGTCAGTTCCGGCTCTTAGTGAGCCTGTGTATCAGACAAAGCGTTGCCCAGCCCTACCCTGTCCTCATGGCTGTCACTTTGTTTGAGCCCATTTGCAGCTGTGTGTCAATCTGAAGGGAAAATCTTCCTCTTTGTGGGCCAGGGTGTCCTCTAGGGACTAGCCTTTCTGATAACATGCAAAGCAAGACAATCTCCCCCACCCTTGCTTCTAAGGCGCATTCTGGCTCTACTATAAAAAACAAAAACCAACTACAACTTCTAAAAAGTATTTCTAGCAGCTGTACCTGACTACATAAGATACTGCAAGGGTCGGCAGAAAACCGCATTTGTTTTAGTAAGCACCGCACTTTCGGAACCTCTCACCCGCTTCAAAATATTTGGCTTCACTACAGTTTATTAAGAAGACAGGAAAGACCATAAGCCAGTGGTTCTCAACCTGTGG